ACTAACAAATGATCTCAAATTAAAATTTTATGAAATGACAAACAGCTTCTGTCTGATTAATAATGAATTGTTTAAGGTTAGTCAACAATGGTACATGTTCTTCTGAGCGCATAATCCAGGTGACAATGAGACAAAGGCAAGCAAAGCATTTAAACTTTAAAGCGTAAAGTTTAGACCAAAGTGATCGACTGCATCACAAATAAAAAGAGTAAAGATAAACTCTAAATATGAGAGAGAGAGAGCAGAATAGAGAGAAGGCAAATAGTTTGGATTAAAAAGGAAGACAACATGATAAAAGGTTCTTTTTACATTTTCTCAATGTATACTTAAATTTGCAACTCAGCATTGATTGAATATGATATTAATTATGGCTCCAATGTTACTTTTAAAAAATTGTTAGATTAAAGCACAGTGTTGCAAACAGAAAACATCCAATATTTGTAATTTTAAGGAACACAAAGTTTTATGGGTCTATTAACAGTGGAAAATCACATTAAATTCAGGAAGATTTTTTTTGGTTCACATACATTGGGCATAATTTAACCTAGCCTGATTCAGAGGTAACTATGATGTCTGGGCCCACTGACTCAGGATTTCACCTGTAAAGTCTCCCAGAAGTGGAAACATCTCTCCAATTAGGTTAAAAGGCACAAGGAAATTCCTGGTGAAAGTAGCAGAATATAAGTGAAGGTTTGGTGATTTAACTGCTTAAAAATCCATTAGCCTCAACTTAGAGCCTTGCAAAACTTGTGGAGCAAGGCTGCAGCATCCAAGGGATGGCTCTTTCATTCTCACTAACTTTATGGCTGATTGAGGGTCCCAACGTTGGGAGGTGGGATGGGATGCTGAAATTTCAGCTCCTGTCCTTGTCTCCAACACTGTCACTCTCCTACCCTCCCACGACAACCATCCCGTGATCTTCATCCTCAACTTTAGCCTGGCATACCTTGAAAACCCTGGGCCCTTAGTGGATGCATTTCTGATAGGTGCCACCAGATACTGTGGCACTGTCATACAAGGAGAAGCGAACAGGACTTCTGGCAGCACGGCTCTGGAATCTGCATAGGCCCAACGGGACTAAGTCCAAAAGGGACATCATCAGGCCACAAGCATGGTACTGTTAGGGGCTCTTTGTCAACTAGGCGAGAATACCAGGCGAATTAACTTCCACCTACTGGATAGCAGGACTGCACATTAATGGCAGGCATTCCACCATGATTTGATTTTTGTTTTATTATTCCCATGTGGTACGTGGGCATTTGCTGCCCATTACCAATTTCACTTGAAAAGATGGTGATGAATTGCTTTCTTATATTGCTGCAGTTCTTTGAATGTAGGTATTCCAACAGAACTATTAGGAAGGAAGAGTGTTCTAGGGTTTTCATCATATGACAGTAAAAGAATAGCAATATATTTCTACGTTCAGATGGGCTGTGCATTGAGGGGTTAGTGTGCAGATGGTGAGTTCCTACATGTCTGCTACCCTTGTCCTGTGAGATTTAGAAGATGCTGTCAAAGGAGACTTGTTGAGTTTCTGCATGTTGTATATGGTACATGTGGCAGCCATTGCTCATTAGTGGTGGATAGAATGAATGCAGAAAGTTGTGGATGGGGTGCCAATTAAGTAAGGTCCTTTGTCCTATCTGATATCAAGCTTCTTTAGGGTTGTTGTTGCAGCTGCGCTCATCCAGGACAAGTGCAAAATATTCCATCACGTTTATGATTTGTGTCTTGTAGATGGTGGACAGGTATTGGGGAGACAGGGAGGGAGTTACTCACCTCGGGATTTCCAGCACCTGACATGCTCTTGTAGCCACAGTATTTATACGCTTGGCCCATTTCAGCTTCTGGTCAATGGTAACTCCCAAGAAATTGATGGTGGGGGATTCAGCAATGACAATCCTACTAAACTCAAGGGGAGATAGTTAGATTCTATTCTCAGAAATTATCAATGGCCTGGCACTTGTGTGGTATGAATGTTACTTGTCACTTAGCAGACCAAACCTGGTGGTTATCCAGTTTTTGATGCACATGAAGGCCGGCTGCTTTAGCATCTGAGGAGTCACGACTGATGCTGAACATTGAGAAATCAGCAAATACTCCCACATCTGATTTTATCATGGAGAAAAGGCCGTTGATAAAGCATTCATGGCTTGGGACTGAGATCACGAACCTCTAATAACCACAACCATCTTCCTTTCTGCCAAGTATGACTCCAACCAATACAAAGCTTTCCATTTGGCTCCTTAATGCCATACCCAGTCAAACACTGCCCTGAAAGATAGTCACTCTCAGTTCACTTCTGGAGTTCGCTCCTTTGGTCATGGTTGGCTAAAGCTGCATTGTCAGCAGCCAAGCAGCCCACAGAAGCCAAAGTGAGCATCAATGAGCAGGTTCAACAAGAGCTGTTTGGTAGCACTGTTGATGATCGCTTCCAACACCTTGCTGAAAATCAAAAGTAGACTGAATGGGTAGGAACTGGGTTGGATTTGCGCTACACTTTTGAGGACGGGACACGCCTGGGTAATTTTCCACATTGTTCAGCAGTATCAGTGTTATAGTTATACCGGAACAGCTTGGCTAAAGGTGTTGAAAATTCTGGAGAACTGAGGTTTCAGTACTATTGTTAGAATGTTGTCAGAAACCAAAGCCTTGGCTGGATCTAGTGCCATGGGCCATTTCTTCATATTGAACTGAATTGGTTGAAAACTGGCATCTATTATGCTGGAGACCTTCAAAAGGGGACAAGATGGATCAGTGGACTAGTGCATCGGTCTGAAGATGTAAACTCTTTGACTTGGTCTTTTTCACTGATATTCTAGGCTCCCCTATCATTGAGCATGTCAGTTTTTGTACAGCCTCCTCCTAAATGCCCACCACTATTCACGACTAAGTGTAGCAGGACTGCAGAGTTTAGATGTAATCCACTGGATGTAGGATCACTCAGCCCTGCCTGTTGCATGCTGCCTCTCCTGTTTATTACGTAAGTTATCATAGAATCTCGAAAGTACAGAAAGAGGCCATTCAGCCTAATGAGTCTGCACTGACCCTCTGAACAGCATCCCACCCAGACCTACTCCTCCATCCTATTCCCACAACCCACATATACCATAGCTAATCCACCTAGCCTGCACATGTGTAGACTAACATGGCAACTTAGGATGGCCAGACCCCTAAGCTGCATATCTTTGGACTGTAGGAGGAAACCAGAGCACCCAATGGAAATTCAGCTGTCCCGTGTTGCAGCTTCACCAGGTTGACATCTCATGTTTGAGTATGCTTGATGCTCCTCCTGGCATGCCCTCCTGCACTCTTCTTTAAAGTAGGGTTAATCAGCTGGCTTACTGGTAGAACGTAACAGTAGAATGTGGAATATGCTAGCTCTGAGTTTGAATACAATTTTGCTGCTGCAGATGGCCCACAACACTTCATGGATGCCCAGTCTTGAGTTGCTCGATCCGTTCAAAGTCTGTCCCATTTAACATTGTGTCATGCCACTCAACAGGATAGAGGGTATCCTCAATGTGAAGATGAAATTTGTTTCTACTGGGATTTTGCAATAATCACTGACTGATATTGTCATAAACAGATGCATCTGCAACAGTTAGATTGGTGAGAATTAAGTCGAGTAGGTTTTTCTATCTTGCCGGTTCCCTCAACACCTGCTGCAGACCTAATCTTGCTGCCGTATCCTTTAGAATACAGCCAACTTGGTCAATATTGGTGCTTTCAAGCCATTCGTGGTGAAAGATATTGATGTTCCCCACCCAGAGTACATTCTACAGCCTTGTCATCCTTTATGTTTCCTCCAAGTCATGTTTAATATGGAGAAACACTGATTCATCAGGCAAGGGTGAAGTAGGTAGTAATCAGCAGGGACTCTCCCTGATGTTCGACCTGATGCTATGAGACTTCATGGTGTCGCAGAGACAATGCTGCAGACCCTGAGGGCAACTCCTTCCCGACTATATACCACTGTGCCATTAGCTCTAGTGAGTCTGTCCTGCCAGTGGGATAGGCAATAGCCAAGGATAATGTTGGTGATGTCTCAGATATTGTCCGTAAGTTATGATTCTATGAGTCCGACTGTGTCAGACTGTTGCTTGACTAATCTGTAAGACATTGCTCCAAATTTTGACACAAGGTCTTAGATTTTCATTAAGAGGATTTTGCAGTTTAAACACAGTTAGGTTTGCTGTTGTCGTTTTGAGCACCTGGGTCAATGCTGGGTGGTCCATCCACTTCAATTCCTTTTATTAAGCTTTCCAGCAGTTTGATACAACTGTGCCTTCCCCTCCTGTCAATGAAGAGTGCAAACTACCATATCTGCTACAGATAATTGTTATGTTATAAATATTTGATTTGTCTATCATTATTCATGGTTTGTAACTCTACTTTGGAAATCATTGCCAATGTCCACCTTAAAGGCAGTGAAATGTAATTAATGTCCAAATCATTTTCACTTTCCACCCAAGAAAAAGTTTCAGATACAGAAGATACTCATTAGTTTATTATTCTTGACTTTTCATTCAGTTCCATTAGTTTTATAATATATCAACACATCACATGTCAAGTCTGCAGATGCTTATCACATCTGACAACAAAGCAAATCAAACATAACTCACATAACTTCAAAGAAAAGGTGTATTAAACTAATACGATTGATATCTTACATCATGTACATTTGTTTAAAGTAGGATGCCATTTCCTGATGGTTTCCTGTAGTTTATGACCGTAGCAGTTGACTTGCACGTTCCCAAGGTACATATCTCAGCTCACGACGACAAATATTTCCAGTTGTAAATACCAAGATTTATCAGTAGCAGAATAAAAAAAGAACTCAGCAGGATAAGCCATCTGGTTAGTAATGTTCTGCCAAAATAAATATTCTCCACAGCTCTCAAAATTCTTCTGTTACAGCAAGCACAAACATCAATAATATGACTCCCTGATGGAGGAAGACCCATTTTGCTAGCTGTCAGTTTCAGAAAGTGACTTACCAGAAGTAGTCCTGACGAGATCTGTTGTATTTCTCAATCCAAGAAACGCAAACTGATACAGCCTCCAAAAGCGAGGCTCTCCAAAGATAACAGAACGATATCTTGCCCACTGATATATTATTTCATCTTTGGGGTAGCCATCTAGAAATTAAATTGCAAAAAGTTTTTTTTTTAATTACTCTTCTATTAAGTCAGCAGCTCTTAAAATTGAATGTGCAATCTTTTACTGGGAAAGATATAAAATTTCATGAAGGAAGAAATGGTAGCTAAATCTCCACTTTCCACAGGCCATGTGCATTCCCTACCATGAGCATCTGTTCAATACCCAGAAGTAAGGTTAAACTAAACTAGAGCATAACTTCAATCATAAGATCAAAATGCAATTAAAGATGAGTAAACCCATTTAGCTCATAATGTTTAATCTATTTCCAAAGATCATGCAGTCCTATGATTAATAAGTCTAATTCTTTCTTAAAAGACTGAAGTTTTGTCTTCACTGCTCTATCTGGAAATTGATCATTCTTTATGTGAAGAAGTTCTGAATATCAGTCCTGAAGATAACCTTTACTTGTTGAACTTGTGCACTAGTTCAGCTACTCACACAATTTAAGGTAAGACTGGATATTTTAAAGTTGAGTGCTGCTGACAAGATCAGCAGTTATTACCCATTCCTTTTCTTTATTCATTCATGGGATGTAGGCATTACTGGCTGGGACAGCATTTATTGCCCAACCCTCGTTGCCCTTCAGAAGGCAATGATAGGACCTTTGTTTTGAACCACTGCAGTTCCATCGGGTAAAAATGCTCCCACAGAATAGAGGTTCAAGTATTTTGAGCTGCATTTCAAAGGCCTGCCTAGCATGATTTTTTTGCAGAAGGCAGCACTTAAAATATGGCTAGTGCCTAGTCCACCATCTTCTTATGTACCCATGAACTCACTGCCATAACACAATAGGTGGATGGCTGCCAAAATTGGTGTTCCACTGCATAAAGCTCTGCCTTTGACTTATCAATAATGAGCAACGGCAATACAGGTCAAACACACAACCGTGCAAGAATTGAAAAGAAACTTGTGAGCATTAACGTTCTCATATAACTGCCCTTGTCCTAGTTAGTAAAGTTTGAGGATTTTTGAAGCACCGTAGAATCGTGGTGAGTTGATTTTGTATCAATTGATGGCACATATTGTAGCCACAGAATACAAGTAGCAGAGGGGTCAGTTGTTTATGCAAATAGATCAAGTGGATTGCTATTTTCCGAATGGTATCATGCTTCTTAAATATTACATACAAATGAATCCAACCAAGGAAGTGGAGTATATTCTGTCACACTCCAAATGTGTGACCTGTGGGTGGTGAAAACAATTAAGAAGGCAGCCAACAAGCTAGCTATGATGTCGCATTTACAGCCCTGAATTGGTCTAATACTTACAGCACTGGTCAGTAGTGATAGTGATGCATATATTTATGATGCATTGGTATGGAGCAGAACTGTTTGAAAAGCAAAATTATACAGTATTCCAATTGTAAAGGCAATGAACGCTATAAATTATTTGGTGCTGATTCCATAATTTCACATATGTGGAGAACAGCTTGTTTTAACATGACAACAGGACCTATTTTAAACTTGTCAGGGAAAAGGGCATACAAGGGCTAAAGAATCACAACACTACGAATAGGCAGTTCAGGTCTAGATAAGGCAAGAAGCAGGAATTATGTCAGTTCAGCAAGTTGATGATCAGAAGAGGAGAGAAACTTTGGGCATATAAGGATACTATTATCATCCCAGCCTGCAAGAAACATCGAAGAGCATGCACATCAGCAGTAACCAACATTGAAATATATTTAGATAAAGTGATAAAAACCTGACAATGCCTAAAAATAAAAAATTATAGAATATATAGGTGAATAAAGTTAAACAAAATAATTTTTTTAATTTTTAAAAATTGGCTTGATATTGTTCAGAAATAGTAGGAACTGCCGATGCTGGAGTCTGAGATAACAAGGTGTAGAGCTGGATGAACACAGCAGGCCAGGCAGCATCAGAGGAGCAGGAAAGCTGACGTTTCAGGTCCGGACCCTTCTTCAGAAATGCTCATGTATGTGCGCATGTGCAATCTGACAAAATCCAGGAGTGAGCACGCGCAGTTGGCATTCAGCATAGGATCACTTGTTTCAGACATATCATTAAAACAAAAGACTTACCTGGGCCTAAATACTTGTTACCAGCTATGCTGGTGCTGGGAAACCATGAAGGTCATGGATAGGCTTGTGATTGAAATGACACGCATTTTCCCAAAAATTCATTAAGGTACATGCCATTAAGTTATACTCCCACTCCTCTGGTGCCTGGTGTCTGAAGACATACTTCCAAATATCAGGAGGCAAGAGCACGGAACAAACCTGGCCCCTTACCCACTCGCATGCCCACAATCTCTTCCCTGTTATGACTCCCAACCTCATGGTTCATGCCAGGTGCAGACAGAGAGAAAACTAGCAACATCTCTCGACAAGCATAGCTATCACTAATAAAGAACAACATATAGTTTCCATTGTGTTACGATGAAAATGTTGAATTATTGGTACCGACAAAGTTCCACGGATTATTGTTTTTGGTATGCTATATACCTTGCATTGTGTACTTTAGGAAAATAAATAACTTGAAAAGTATTGAAAATATTGAATTCTCTCCACAAAAGGTAGACTGCAGAGGTTCAAGAAGGCAGCTGACCACCACCGTCTCAAAGGCAAGTAAGGACGGGCAATAAATTCTGGCCAGCCAGCGATGCCCACATCCCACAAATGAATACAAGTAAATAAACATGTGCAGAAGTTTGTAAGTACATCTCATATCAACCTCTTTGTGACAAACACTCTTTTAAACATTCTGCAATGCTCTAACAAATGACACTGCTGTTTTATACATTAGTGATTAAATTATATGTCATAAAGTTATACATACAACTCGAAAATACCAAAGGGCATGAGTGCTCATCCATTGGGAAGTTATGCAGTTGTAGTTGGCATTCAGCTTCAATTGTCAATCTAAAAATAGTAAAAGCTCATTTTAAGTGTTGAAATAACTGAGAGGGCAATCTCATTATGACAGAAACATAATTATATAGAAGTATATTCACCCATGTAAGATATATATACAACTATGTGTCAGGTGTGAATCAAAGACAGAGATACATGTAACTATACATTTAAGACATGGACAGCAACTAAAACTTATTTACTCAGGATACTTTATAAGATGCACAAAATATATTATACTTCATAATACAAGCTGTCGTGTTTTAAATGTGCAAAATTTACATGATGGAACAGTTCAAGCTACTCATTAATGGTGAATATTGTTTAGATAAAAAGAGCATAATTGATGTCATGATACCATTAGCAGTGAATCACAATAAGTGTTGTATTAGATTATCAAAGATAAATTTAGTTATATTACTGATCTTATTTCCGAGATTTTCCACTGAAGAAAACGAGACTGTAAATGTCAGTTCGCTTCATGGCTACTCAAATACCTTAGCACGCTGCACATCTAATGCGTTTATAACTTCCTTAGAATTTGAATAAAATTGGTGTGCATCTAGAACTAAAAGGATAATAATCTCCCAAAACATCAATTTACTACAAGCAGCATTGAATATTTCATTCATTATTATTTATGAAGTGCATTTTTGAAGTGATTGAATAATTCAGATCTATCTGATTTCAAACCAAAATATCTAACCATTGGCAAACTATTCATAGTTGTCTTTGGGAATACTTAAAAAAAAATTACAGCCCAATAGCTCTCAACAACACTCTGCTGTGGTTTAATTATTGAATGACGTGTTTAATTAGCAAAGTTGGAGGGAAAAGATATAATAGCCCAAATTTTGCTTCCAAAATAACAAGAAGCTAAATTGCACTCACTATTATTCACATATAAATGATCCAGTAGCTTGTGGTCAGAAACAGATATTTTGTGAAATGCAAATCATCACATTTCTGGACAAATTTGTGATGCTTCACCATTGACCTTGCAAAAATGACCACTTGCCCTGAGGCTCCTCGTTACTTTTAGGAATATGCTGGCTTTGGAAAATTAAGCTGACATTTAATGTGTAACAAAAAGTAACAGTATATTTTTATAACTGAAATAATGTTGTGTTATCACTTAATGCCAATCAACATCTCTGGTCGAGAAAGGGAGCAGTTTAAACTGTTCAGTCACAATCCTGCATACAATAAATTCTTGCACAAAGCCAAAAAATTCACATTTGACTTTTTTCTTACTTCACATTTCTGCATCTTAATATATTATCCAACATTTTTATTACTTGTTCCATAACTGATTTGATTGGAATTCATCCAATTTCCTTTTAGCTCATTCCTCAGCCTCTTTCTTAATCTTTAAATCATATTGATTAAAGGAATTAAAGGGTCTCACCTATTACCAAGATCCCAGGTACTTTGTTGTTATTGTATTTTCAGCAACTTATTCTTTTTAACAAATTAAAAGGATCAAGGCACAAAGTCTAACTAATGATTCCTTACCCAGAAAAATCTGGGCCAATGATTTCATTAATGCACAAGTGTGGTAGTATGTTTATGCATGTAAATAAGATTTCAATGTACTTGCAATAAAGTTACAATACTAAGTCAGCAGGAAGCTTGAGGAAATACATGACCAAAGTAATCAGATCTTGAAGATTTGGTTATCGATTAACTTGGTCATCATCATGTTTTATAAATGAGAACTATAGTTTTTGTTTCCCGAGAAAAAAATCACTCATTACAGGGAGAATGCAGCAATTAGTACCTTGCAATTCCATTGGCCAGTGTGACTGTAAAAAGCAGTGAGCTAAGCCTGGTCTTGTCTTGAGTGGATATTGACCAACGTGCATTTCTACCTGGATCATGCTCACGAGTAGGATCACTGGCTAATTTTTTTGTCTCTATCACAGGAACTTTCATACCAAGTGCAGTGTCCTGATTGCCAATCTGACCCTGATCGGCCCTGTTTGTGATGCAATCAGCAACGTTCCTGATCTTTAGGAATCTGAAATTCACAAGATCCTGGACTTCTTTTATATAATAGCTAGAAAATAATCTCAATTTCACAGTAATGTTCAAAACAAATAATTATGTGCTCAGCCAAACTCATCTGCTATCTTCTCCATCAGAATAATTATAAGAATATCATATATATCATAACAACAACATAATATTTACTGGCTCTAAAAATAAGCAAATGAAATAGTTGTGTATGATAACAATTTTAAAAAGTGCCCTCAATTGACATGGAGATTAAGTTCATTTTTTTTCCTTATACTGCATCCAAATATTAACAAGTTAGCATAAATTACCTTAGCGTGTACAATATTCTTCCATCATTCCATATCCGAAGCATTCTATTTGGAGTTGTTATCCAATGGGCGTCAGCCTTCTTGGAATTTCTAAAGAATGTGTCTGGTATCCATATTTTGCCAACCATGTTGCTGTTGAGTCTGAGGACCTTCATTGTGCTATTAAATTTGAGACGTCTATCATACCACGTTTGGGCAAAAAATATGTCAATGGTATACTCCTGTTGAATGAATATGATATCATTAATATTAATATTCAGAGACAATGGTTCAATAACATACACAAAACCTCTGAACCATCTTTCGTATAAAATTTTAGTGTAAATATTTTTAAATCATGGAGTAAACTCAGCTGCCAAGTAATTCAAAACAGAGGAGATGGCATAGTGGTAATGTGACTAGACTAGCAATCCAGAACACCAGGCTAATATTCTGGGAACATAGATCCAAATCCTATGGCGACATTTGAATTCAACTTCTAAAACAAAAACCTGCAATTAAAATGCTATTGATTGCTGTAAAATCTCATCTAGCTCACTAATGTTCTTTTGGGAAGGACAACTTTACTTGGTCTGGCCTATATATGACCCCTGACCCAGAATATGCGGTTTACTCTTAACTGGCTCTGGGAAATTAGAGACAAGCAACAAATGCTGATCTAGCCAGCACATAAAGTGAATAATAAGGAAGTAAGGTCATTGACCTGGAACAGTGATCTGGATCATATGCTGAGGAGAAGGAAGGGTTCCCTGCTCTCCAGTGTAAATATCGGAGGTGAGTGCATCTCCCATAGGTCTTCATCCTGCGTTTTGGGCTGAGGGCCATTTCATTACTATGGCCCTCTTCAATCAGTTGCCAGCAGCTCTCCAGTACTGGGAACAATGGTGTAGAAATAGCTGTCACTTCCGGTACTGCAGCTAGGCCCAGGGGAAGATATGCTGCACTGGATCAGATAGCCAAATAAGTCTACAACCTTGTCAAAGGCCAACCTCACAGGTCAAGGTGAAGGGGGGTTGGGAGGTTCGGGAAGGTGAATGGACAAACGGAAAATCACAGCTGTAGAGGGGGTTGGGGGGAGAAGAAAGAATCTAAAATTGACATTCAGCACTCAGAATGAAGGCCTCCCCCTCCTGACCAAGCGTTTTACTGGCCTAAGCATACAGAGATAAACAAGTCAGGGTGTATTTTGGGTGTTGCCCTCTCCTGGTATCTATTAAATCTGAGCAGCAGTAGGATGAAGCCTTTAACTGGGTATAGTTACCTAATTAAGGGTGGGTCAACTGGACAATGAATGGGTTGGTTTCATTTGAATAATAAATCTGTTGATCCAGGACATAGAATGAGAGTGACCTGGTTCTACAAGGACAAGTAGCAATCTTGAATGTACACGGTACTGTTGTTCATACTGAGCTGCTTTTACACTAATGCCTTTTAAGTTGGATTCAAAGCAATGAGCATACTCAAGCCTGCTTTCAAAATTCACATTAAATCCAAATTCGATGACCAGCATCAGCACTGCAGATGTTTCCTCAATTCTATAATATGTAGAATTAGTGATGTTGTTTGGGCAAAATTGACTGTACAGGTAACTGTGATGTCATTAATAAATACTGTTTTTTTCAAATAAGATATAGACTACCTGCCTTCAACAATTTTAGCAAAAGTAAATCACACTAGAGGAGTTAGGTCCCAGTTGTCACTAATTCCATCTATTTTTTAAACCATTCAATGAGTGAAAAAAGGAATTCCACATCCTGTTAATAGAGAAAGATCTTCCTCCTGCTGTTAATGGAAATCAAATTACGCACTTTCTTTAACAGGAATCCAATAAGGAATGTTACTTTTATGCCTTGGTGTTGAGATCAGAATTTATTCTTTGGTATTTCATCCTATAACCAATATGGCTTAATGTCTGTAGATTTTAAAGTTGAAACATTATTTATGCTTCTACGTCAAACAAAATCTTCATATTCAGGTTTATAGATGAGTAAAAGGTTGAGACAAAACACATTTGGGTGAAATTTGCCCATTTGCAGTTAAACTGTTATTGGTCAACGGGACATATGGCATCCAGACCACCATAACTCGGAGCAAATCTTCCCAAGGAACTTCTCACACTTCACCTCATTAATTTATGCAGCTGGGTGCTTGGGCACCTTTCCCCAGGAACTGTGTAGCCAAAGGAACAGGAGTAGAGTCATAGAGTCATACAGCACGAAAACAGACCCGTCGGTCTAAACAAGTCCCATCTGCTTGCACTTGGCCCATGTCCCTCCAAACATGTCTAATTTGTGTACTTAACTAAACATCTTTTAGACATTGTGACTGTACCAGCGTCTATCACTTCCTCTGGAAGTTCATTCCACACACAAACTACTCTCTCTGTGAAAAAATTGCCCATGTCTTTTCTTAAATCCTTGTCCTCTCACCATAAAAATATATCCCGTAGTCTTGAAATTTGCCCACCCTAGGGAAAAGTTACCTGCTATTCACGTTATCTACACTCCTCATTATTTTATAAATCTCTAAAAGGTCACCTCTCAATCTCCAATTCTCCAGTGAAAATAGTCCTAGCCTCTCCAGCCTTTTCTTATAATTCAAACTCTCCACTCCAGGCAACATCCTGGTAAATCTCTTCTGAACCCTCTCCAGTTTAATAATATCCTTCCTATAACAGGGAGACTTCTGGTATCATGAACTGCCCCTCCCACGATGACACTCACTGCGATTACCAAACCTTCTGCTCCATAACAATTCTGTATTGCTGTGATGTAGCCCAGAGGAAAGCTCTCTCTCCCCTTTTCGCAGACAGGGACTTGGAAGTGTTGTTTGATGAGTTGGTGGAGAGGAGGGCAATTCTTTTTCCAATAGACCATCACAAGAGGTCAGACTACCAGATACAGCTAGCCTGGACTTAAGTAGTTTAGAAAGAAGGTCAATGACCTTCTGGTCTCTGCAAGAGTAAGTGCCACCATCTTCTCTGCTCCCTCACACTCAAGGCCTACACTCACTCTAACTCTGCCACTACACAAATGTCTCATAGACATAAGGATCATGGACTACAACTTTCAGTATTGCATGCATCGTGTCTATTCAGTGGCTCTTGACCACATCATCCTCCTAACCCTATGAGCTTTGCATTCACTCATTGGGAACACCTATCTACGTCTTCTGCTCCTGCATTACAAATAATTGTTCTTCCATCTACTACCACCATATGCAAGATCTCCATTTATCTCACTGCAGGGAAACCTGGCCCTCCCCCACCCTGGACTGATATCTCACCAGCACCTTGATTGACCTACCTGTGATCCCTGGACCACTTTCACCTGACCTGTAGGACTGACTGTGGTCCAATCCCTAAACTGCAAGGACATAGATTCCCAGGTTCTGCTAAGTTGTCATGCCTGACTGATTGCGGGCAACCTTCTAGTAGGAATTGGATAAGTCCCTTGACCGACTATTGCAGTACCCCCTGATGGACGGTTGCCCTCCTTCACACCAACAAGGACTGCTCCCCTTTGACTTTTACACTTGCCATTTGTTTCAAGCTTGCATTCACTCATAAAATGCTGGCACATGCTGCAGGTCTGATGTAACAGTGCTATGCAGCAATGTGTCCATGTGTCCATATTGCAGTCAGGCAATGGCCTAGTGGTATTATCTCTGGACTGTTATTCCAGAGACCCAGATAATGTTCTGGGAACCCAGGTTCAAATCCCATCACAGCTGATGGTGGAATTTGAATTCAATAAAACATATCTGGAATGAAGAATCTAATGATGACCATGAACCCATTGTTGACTGTCAGAAAAACCCTCTCACTAATGTCCTTTAGGGAAGGAAACTGCCATCCTCACCTGGTCTGGCCGACCTGTGACTCCAGACTCACAACAATGTGGTTGACTGTGAGCTGTGCTCTGGGCAATTAGGGATGGACAATGAACGCTGCCTAGCCAGCGATGCCCTTATCCCATGAATGAATAAGGAAAAAAAATGTCATATCCTGGTCTTACTAATCAATTGTCTCGTCAGTGCTCCCCACCATCAAAAAACTGACTTCCTCTTCCTTTCCTAAACTCAATGCAAGCCCAGGAGGTTGGCAAATTGTAACTGAGTGCCAAAAACCATATATGTTTAGAAGGCAATGCTAGCCACATCAGGCTGGCAGCCTGAAAGTCAGTTCTGAAGTCAGTGAGGGTGCTATAACAATGCAATGTGAAGTAAATTCAGGCTGGCAGCCTCCATGTAAGTGGCAAAGTAAGTGATCATTAAGAAAGCAAGCTAAGAGTCATAAAAAGTGTATCCACTGAAGATGCGGGAGATATTCTTGTGTGCCTGTGAGCAAACTGACCTGGCAGATCCATTCAAGTTCTAGGTGTCCCTAAGCTCCAAAGTGTTGAAATACTGAAGTGGTGCCTAAATTGCTCTGAGAGCAGGCATAATGGTGTAGTGAAGCTGAGTTTGCTGATGCATGGATAAAGTGTTGAGGAGGATGGTGACCATGGAGCAGGCAGGAACTTTGCCGTGCAGAAACAGCTAGATGATAGCTGGAGCAAACAAGCGAAAAACTGCAGCCACCAGATACCCACATTGATTTATCTGCCAGGCATTTGCGCTGTCTAGTTTCTCAGTAAAGAAAAGCATAGTAGGAAGTGACATATAAAAAAGGCTATTTGGGTTTTAATGAGATGCAAATGCATAGAAATAAGGTAGTTGCTGCTCAGTGGTGAGATTCTGAAATAGCCATTTCCCCGTTCGCGGGGAAAAAAACAGGGAAAGTTTTCACAACATTAAGAATCAAATTTTTCACTCACATTGTACTTTCCCATCTTTCTTGCACTTATTTATGTCACACCAGAGAGAACAAAATTCTCACAACAATAATGTGAAATAAAAAATCAAAAATTCTAGAACAATATAATTTTAAGTTAATGTAATGCATATTAAAATTTATAAGTAATACTGGTTTCCCACTTATTGCATACACGTGATATGTTATAGCTGGGTGTGATACATGTGTTAAGAGCACTTCTTCATGCCTATCATCAAATCTGTTAGGTTGAGGCACTAAAGGCAGAAATAGTTGGCCTACTTTACTGAACTAAAATGAAACAGGGAGATTTCTTTCCCTATAACAGGCAGTGGAGGATTTTTCATAATATATGTTTCTTAGGTTCTTTATTATGGCTTACGGAGAAATCCTTGGTTCATTCTGAAA